ATTTTAAAACATATCTAGGTATTATAAATGATAAAAAATGCTAATATAGATATAAAATCGATATTTTTTTTGAAAAAAGCCTACTATGATCGAAACCAAAAATGCTTTAAATTGCATTTTAAAACATATTTACTTATTATAAATGATAAAGAATGCTAATATAGATATAAAATCGATATTTTTTTTAAAAAAAGCCTACTATGATCGAAACCAAAAATGCTTTAAATTGCATTTTAAAACATATCTAGGTATTATTAATGATAAAGAATGCTAATATAGATATAAAATCGATATTTTTTTTGAGAATAGCCTACTATGATCGAAACCAAAAATGTTTTAAATTGCATTTTAAAACATATCTACGTATTATAAATGATACAGAAATGCTAATATAGATATAAAATCGATATTTTTTTGAGAATAGCCTACTATGATCAAAACCAAAAATGCTTTAAATTGCATTTTAAAACATATCTAGGTATTATAAATTATAAAGAATGCTAATAAAGATATAAAATCGATATTTTTTTTGAAAATAGCCTACTATGATCCGAACCAAAAATGCTTTAAATTGCATTTTAAAACATATCTAGGTATTATAAATGATAAAGAATGCTAATATAGATATAAAATCGATATTTTTTTGAAAATAGCCTACTATGATCGAAACCAAAAATGCTTTAAATTGCATTTTAAAACATATCTAGGTATTATAAATGATAAAGAATGCTAATATAGATATAAAATCGATATTTTTTTTGAAAATAGCCTACTATGATCGAAACCAAAAATGCTTTAAATTGCATTTTAAAACATATCTAGGTATTATAAATTATAAAGAATGCTAATAAAGATATAAAATCGATATTTTTTTTGAAAATAGCCTACTATGATCCGAACCAAAAATGCTTTAAATTGCATTTTAAAACATATCTAGGTATTATAAATGATAAAGAATGCTAATATAGATATAAAATCGATATTTTTTTGAAAATAGCCTACTATGATCGAAAACAAAAATGTTTTAAATTGCATTTTAAAACATATCTAGGTATTATAAATGATAAAGAATGCTAATATAGATATAAAATCGATATTTTTTTGAGAATAGCCTACTATGATCGAAACCAAAAATGTTTTAAATTGCATTTTAAAACATATCTACGTGTTATAAATGATAAAGAATGCTAATATAGATATAAAATCGATATTTTTTTTGAAAATAGCCTACTATGATCGAAGCCAAAAAAGCTCTAAATTGCATTTTTAAACAAATCTACGTATTATAAATGATAAAGAATGCTAATATAGATATAAAATCGACATTTTTTTGAGAATAGCCTACTATAATCGAAACCAGAAATGTTTTAAATTGCATTTTAAAACATATCTACGTGTTATAAATGATAAAGAATGCTAATATAGATATAAAATCGATATTTTTTTGAAAATAGCCTACTATGATCGAAGCCAAAAAAGCTCTAAATTGCATTATAAAACAAATCTACGTATTATAAATGATAAAGAATGCTAATATAGATATAAAATCGATTTTTTTTTTAAAATAGCCTACTATGATCGAAGCCAAAAAAGCTCTAAATTGCATTTTAAAACAAATCTACGTATTATAAATGATAAAGAATGCTAATATAGATATAAAATCGATATTTTTTTTTGAAAAAAGCCTACTATGATCGAAACCAAAAATGCTTTAAATTGCATTTTAAAACATATTTACGTATTATAAATGATAAAGAATGCTAATATAGATATAAAATCGATATTTTTTTTGAGAATAGCCTACTATGATCGAAACCAAAAATGTTTTGAATTGCATTTTAAAACATATCTACGTATTATAAATGATACAGAAATGCTAATATAGATATAAAATCGATATTTTTTTGAGAATAGCCTACTATGATCAAAACCAAAAATGCTTTAAATTGCATTTTAAAACATATCTAGGTATTATAAATTATAAAGAATGCTAATAAAGATATAAAATCGATATTTTTTTTGAAAATAGCCTACTATGATCCGAACCAAAAATGCTTTAAATTGCATTTTAAAACATATCTAGGTATTATAAATGATAAAGAATGCTAATATAGATATAAAATCGATATTTTTTTGAAAATAGCCTACTATGATCGAAACCAAAAATTTTTTAAATTGCATTTTAAAACATATCTAGGTATTATAAATGATAAAGAATGCTAATATAGATATAAAATCGATATTTTTTTGAAAATAGCCTACTATGATCGAAACCAAAAATGCTTTAAATTGCATTTCAAAACATATCTAGGTATTATAAATGATAAAGAATGCTAATATAGATATAAAATCGATATTTTTTTGAAAATAGCCTACTATGATCGAAACCAAAAATGTTTTAAATTGCATTTTAAAACATATCTACGTGTTATAAATGATAAAGAATGCTAATATAGATATAAAATCGATATTTTTTTTGAAAATAGCCTACTATGATCGAAGCCAAAAAAGCTCTAAATTGCATTTTTAAACAAATCTACGTATTATAAATGATAAAGAATGCTAATATAGATATAAAATCGATATTTTTTTTGAAAATAGCCTACTATGATCGAAGCCAAAAAAGCTCTAAATTGCATTTTAAAACAAATCTACGTATTATAAATGATAAAGAATGCTAATATAGATATAAAATCGACATTTTTTTGAGAATAGCCTACTATAATCGAAACCAGAAATGTTTTAAATTGCATTTTAAAACATATCTACGTGTTATAAATGATAAAGAATGCTAATATAGATATAAAATCGATATTTTTTTGAAAATAGCCTACTATGATCGAAGCCAAAAAAGCTCTAAATTGCATTTTAAAACAAATCTACGTATTATAAATGATAAAGAATGCTAATATAGATATAAAATCGATATTTTTTTTTGAAAATAGCCTTCTATGATCGAAACCAAAAATGCTTTAAATTGCATTTTAAAACATATCTAGGTATTATAAATGATAAAGAATGCTAATATAGATATAAAATCGATATTTTTTTTGAGAATAGCCTACTATGATCGAAACCAAAAATGTTTTAAATTGCATTTTAAAACATATCTACGTATTATAAATGATACAGAAATGCTAATATAGATATAAAATCGATATTTTTTTGAGAATAGCCTACTATGATCAAAACCAAAAATGCTTTAAATTGCATTTTAAAACATATCTAGGTATTATAAATGATAAAGAATGCTAATGAAGATATAAAATCGATGTTTTTTTTGAAAAAAGCCTACTATGATCGAAACCAAAAATGTTTTAAATTGCATTTTAAAACATATTTACGTGTTATAAATGATAAAGAATGCTAATATAGATATAAAATCGATATTTTTTTGAGAATAGCCTACTATGATCAAAACTAAAAATGCTTTAAATTGCATTTTAAAACATATCTACGTATTATAAATGATACAGAAATGCTAATATAGATATAAAATCGATATTTTTTTGAGAATAGCCTACTATGATCAAAACCAAAAATGCTTTAAATTGCATTTTAAAACATATCTAGGTATTATAAATGATAAAGAATGCTAATGAAGATATAAAATCGATGTTTTTTTTGAAAAAAGCCTACTATGATCGAAACCAAAAATGTTTTAAATTGCATTTTAAAACATATTTACGTGTTATAAATGATAAAGAATGCTAATATAGATATAAAATCGATATTTTTTTGAGAATAGCCTACTATGATCAAAACTAAAAATGCTTTAAATTGCATTTTAAAACATATCTAGGTATTATAAATGATATAGAATGCTAATATAGATATAAAATCGATATTTTTTTGAAAATAGCCTACTATGATCGAAACCAAAAATGCTTAAAATTGCATTTTAAAACATATCTTCGTGTTATAAATGATAAAGAATGCTAATATAGATATAAAATCGATATTTTTTTGAAAATAGCCTACTTTGATCGAAACCAAAAATGCTTTAAAATGCATTTTAAAACATTTATACGTATTATAAATGATAAAGAATGATAATATAGATATAAAATCGATATTTTTTTGAAAATAGCCTACTTTGATCGAAACCAAAAACGCTTAAAATTGCATTTTAAAACATATCTAGGTATTATAAATGATAAAGAATGCTAATATAGATATAAAATCGATATTTTTTTGAGAAAAGCCTACTATGATCGAAACCAAAAATGTTTTAAATTGCATTTTAAAACATATCTACGTATTATAAATGATACAGAAATGCTAATATAGATATAAAATCGATATTTTTTTTGAAAATAGCCTACTATGATCGAAACCAAAAATGTTTTAAATTGCATTTTAAAACATATCTACGTGTTATAAATGATAAAGAATGCTAATATAGATATAAAATCGATATTTTTTTTAAAAATTGCCTACTTTGATCGAAACCAAAAATTGCATTTTAAAACATATCTAGGTATTATAAATGATAAAGAATGCTAATAAAGATATAATATATAATAGATATAATAGATATAATATAGATATAATCTACATACTGGGATTAAAATTACACTTTATATGTCAAAAAATCAAAAAATCAGTTCTTTATAGGTTGAACCAATAACAATTAATTATCTTTCAATGCATTTGGTATATAATACAGAAATTGTCTTTATGAAGACAAAATATATGAAAGATTTTGTTTTTCTATTTACATGTAGAATTGATCTATACAAAGAAAGATATATGTCAGAATTTGTCTGAGCCAGATAACTTGCAAGAATGCAACACTGATCTGAACAAAACCAATAGATTCACACGTGAAAACGGTGTGAACATAATAATTGACACTTTAAAAATTCAAAAATAAAGCTTTGCACGTGATACTTATTTTTACCGGTTTCGTATTCATAGCAACCAATAATTTATTTATTAGCAGTTTATTAACAACGAAGTCATTTGATCAAGTTTTATTGATTATTTTCGCATTAATCATGGATAAAAGAAGACTGACAAACACTCCAATTCCGATTCCTCCACCAACATTTCCCCCAGACTTTGCATTGACAGATTCTGACCTAGATTGCAGCGATGAGGATGATTTCGATCTTTTGATTGGCTTTGATCCTGAAAAGGCGATGAGGGGACTATATGAAATGCAGAATAGCATCATTCTGCCAATATCGTGAGTACATAAATTCTTTTAATTACTATAATTTTAAATAAAGTTAATAATCACATCCAATTGCAGCATAGAGCAGCAAAGAGACATGTTTATTGAAGTCGGCATTAATTTGAGTGTTGAGAATCCATGGAAACAAATCAGTAAACAATTCCTAGAAGATCATTTGTCGACAGACACCTATGAAATGTCGGTTCTAAAGGATAGATTAAAAGAAATTGATGATGATCCATTGCTCCTTATTGGATATGTCCCACACTTATCTGATGAAACTAAAGATTATTTCATAATTTATCTTGATGAAGCAACATGTACAGAAGTTGGTGAGAATATCAAGCGACTTGAAGCATGCGAACGACGTAAAATCATGAAGTCAATTGAGAAATATCCTCGACCATATAAATCTATGGGAAGTGAGAAAACTGTCGATTCCTATGTGAATGTAAAGCGAGGAAACACTATCGATGTTGAACTACAGAGTGTCTATCCAATGCGCTACTCACATGTAAGCTTTCAGTACCGATTTTCTGATGATGTTCGTGATGGCTATGTTGAACTTTTGCCTGACAAAAAAGTACATTTTGATAATGTCTACAAGAAGATGGTCGATAGATCAGTGCAATCAGCATCAAGGATGATAACTGAGGAACAACAGACAGATCCTACATTTCCTACAAATGCCTGGTCACAGTATCTTTATGAATTAGAAGAAGTTAAGCCTGAAGATACAGAAACAATTGTAAGTGAAGAAAAAAAGGAAGAAGATGACATGCCATTAATGCTGCGTAGAAAAAAGAGTAAGGAAGAAGTGCCAGTTGAAGAAATTAAGCCAGAAGAGCCAGTTGTATCCAAGCAAGTCGAAGATTTAATTCAAATTTTAGAATTTAATCAAATTGACATGTACAGGAATGATTACAAGTTTATAGGCAAGAATGAGATAGCAAAGTATCAGACACCATATTTGGAAGAAGTTTGTTGCTTTGCAGACATATCAAAATGTAAAGGACGTCATATAATCTCAATGGATTGGCATCCTGAATTGAGTGGAATTTGTGTGACTGCTTATGGATTTAATCTAAAGTCTAAAATCATAGAAGACTCAAATGATGTAGATACAGTCAAGCAAACAATCATTGAAGGCAATCCAAATTTAGTATGGAGCTTCGATGATCCACTTTTTCCGAAATTACAACTGGAATCGCTTCGAGAAATTTCATGCATTTCATTCTGTCCATATGATGGCAATATTATTGTTGGCGGAACCATAAATGGACAGATTATAATTTGGGATATAAAAAATCGGCTGGAAAGAAGTGAGGAAGATTCAGTTTTGACTCCAACACAGCATAAGCACAGAAATGAAATTGGTGAATATCTAAAATGGACAAAAATTGATGCTTCAAATAACATCGTACAGCATGCTGCGATCAGTTCCATTGATAAATCTCATCAAGATACTGTAACAAGTATCAAGTGGCTGCCAAGAAATTATAAATGTGATTCAAATGGAGCAATTAAGGAAGATCGAAATCGTAAAACTTTATATCGTCACTTTGTGACTACTTCTATGGACGGAAAAATATTCTTTTGGGATTTAGACTGGCAACCTGATGAAAAAGCTAAACTTGCACAACGTGATCAAAAATTTGTATTGCCTGATGAATTGAAGGAAGAATCGTCACCATTTAAAAGCATCGATAAAATTTTTACACCTCATTACTTCTTAGTTCCACCAAATTCCAACTGCTCGTCCATAATTACATTTACATTTAATGAGGGTGAATATCAGTATGAAGCAATGAATAAGCAGAACAAGCTTGATTTATCATCACGTGTTAGATATCGAGTAGATCCAATTATTAAGCACATGTTCAATCCAAAAATGGTTGTTGGAAGTAATGTTGGTGAACTATCATTATGTTTTTGGGAAGGAAATGACTTTTCACAAGGAGCTCCAATTGATCAAAAAAGTATGAATCAAGAGCCCTTTGCAGATGTACATGACGGTCCAATAATTTCAGTGGAAAGGAACAAATTCATGACTGACTCATTTATATCTATTGGTGGATATATCTTTGCTTTTTGGAATGATGAGTATAAGGATGGTCCAATATTTTGGAGACGACGTGAAAGTAACATAACTGATGTCCAATGGAGCCTTGATAGACCTTCCGTTTTCTTCTTAACATTTGAGGATGGCACTTTGGAAATATGGGATCTACATAGTCGTATAGATGTACCATCACTGTCTGAATCACTTGGTGGATATATCCTTACTAAAATATCTCAGCATAAGCTGCCATTACCACGCTATCGAGTTCTAGCTGTTGCTGATCATAATTCTAATTTACGAATTTTCAAGGTCCCAACAGCATTTACTGCTTACATAAGTAACGAGAAGGAATGGTTTATCAACTTTATAAAAGATGAAGTTCAGAGGAAGGTTGATCAAGATAAATGGAAAGTGGATTGGTTTGAATCTAATAAAGACATTGTTGATGCCAAAAAAGATGTTGAACAGCAAATGACTGATGACACTGAACGGAAGGAAAAAGCACGAAAAGAGATTGAAGATAAACGAGCACAATTGGCTGAGGCTGAAGCAAGAAAGTAAGTTTGACTTTTAGTTCCGAAAATTAATTCTTAATCCTGCTTTATTTAAACCTTAAGATTAAAAATTAAAATTTTTTAAATTCTTATTAATCTCCAGACAAGCAAAGAAGAATGCTCGAAAACAGACATACGATTTACCGGAACGTCTACAAAAGAAATGGAAGGAACAGAATTACAAGCGTCTCTTAAAAGTCATTATGGAACGTAAAAAAGTCGATCGAGAATTGCTGGAAAAGCAAACAAAGATTTTAAAAGATCGAATTCGGTATGATGAGGAAAAGAAAGTAGCTATAAAGCAGAGTGTATCAAGAATTGAGGAAGATTTGTCAACAATTCGAAGTAGATTGATTCCAGTTGAAGAATATAAGTCATCACGTGCTGAGTTGGTCAGCGAGAATGTAGACATTATGTATTCAAGACAGCTGAATTTTAAAATGATTGAAACTGATGCTTTAAACAGCATGAAAGATCAACCAGAGCTTAAACCAATGAATATGTCGGATATACTGAGACGTTGTCAATCAAATCGCAACATTATCAGTCAAAGTCTTGGGGGATATAATAATTCAAAGTTTGCCAGATTCAAAAGTGAGCGTCAACAGTCTCATAGCAGATATAGCAGCACCAGTCAAGTCAATGAGCAGCAGAGAACTTAATTAAATTATTTTTGTGTTCTTGCACCGATTTGATGAATTGTGAGTGAATTATTTAACCGTCAAATAAAATTTGAAACAAAATCAAAACAAAAGAAAGAAAAGAAAATAGAAAAATAATCATTATTTAATATATTTAGTGAATTACTAGGTTTAGAGATGGAAGATAATATATTTAGATATGTCTATAGTTGCTCGTTAGAACAAAGAGTTCAAATAAAAATCGGATCTTTGGATGGAACTCCAGAAAAGCCAGATTTTAGAACATTATTCACAAATCCATTATTAAGTCATTCAGGACTTTATTCTGAGGAGAATTGTGCATCATTTCTAGTGAAAATCCAATGCTATAATAATGGAAAGGCATTTGGATTGCCCGTAACTACATCATATAAAGCATTCACAAAAAGATGGAATTGGAATGAATGGGTAACGTTACCATTTAGTTTTTGTGATTTACCAAGAACAGCAATTTTGTGTTTTACAATCTACGACTGTATTGGAGCTGGCAAAATGTCTGTAATTGGTGGCACTTCCATATCAGTATTTGGAAAGCATGGAATATTTCGTGAAGGAATGTTTGATTTAAAAGTATGGCCAAATCATGAAGCAGATCCTCTTGAAACGCCTGGAAAAACAAAAGATTCTGATGATACTGATCATCAGATGCAACGATTAGCCAAGCTAGCTAAGAAACATAGAAATGGGCAAATAGAGAAAGTCGACTGGATCGATAGATTAACATTCAGAGAAATTGAGCTAATTAATGAGCGAGAAAAACGAGAATCCAATTATTTATATTTAATGATCGAATTTCCAACTGTATCATTTAATGATAAGAACTATGCTGTTGTATACTATGAACTGACTGGAGACAAGAAATTTTCATTCGTCTCACGACCAAAATTAGTGATGATTCCAGATTCGGAGATTTTGCAGGTAAGAAGAATAAAGAGTAATTTTGAGAGTTTTGTTTGCTTATCAGTCAGTTATTTAATACTTATGCTCGGGAGAAAATCCAATTAGTATAAAGTCTCAACTCATGTAATTGCATACACAACAAAATATTTTCTCAGCTGCTCATCTTATCAGTTAAAATTATTTATTGAATCCAAAAATAACAATAATTTGTCAATATGAGCATCATCAAGCCGTGTTTGTGATCATCCATAATGTCATCAGAAAAGAATAATTTTTTTGATGATCTATTAAAATTAGTGATCACATTTCTTCACAAGGTATTTCCTGAATATTTTGAAGGGAAGAAAAAATCGCGTTACTCACATTTTAATAAGCACATAATTGATGTAATGATAAGGAACAACTATTTTACATCGCAGTGATTAATCAAGTTTTCTTTGTTTCTAATTAGGAGAATCTTGTGGAAAGGAAGCATCATAGACTAGCTCGTTCAGCTAGATCTGGGTTATCAGATCGTGATGCTAAACCAACGGCTCATATTAGAGATCAACTGCATTCTATAGTCTATAGATATCCACCAACATTCCAATTGAATAGTGAGGAACAAGATTTAATATGGAAGTATCGATTCTATTTGAGTACACATAAAAAAGCATTAACAAAGTTCTTGAAATGCATAAACTGGCAAACTACAACGGAAGTAAGGCAAGCTTTAAATCTACTAGATTTATGGACTCCAATGGACGTTGAGGATGCTCTAGAACTACTTAGTCCTAGCTTTCAACATCCAGCAGTCCGACGTTATGCAATAACTCGTTTAAAGCAGGCACAGGACGATGACTTACTGCTTTATTTACTTCAACTTGTTCAAGCCTTAAAATATGAAAATTTCGATGACATCTTTGAGTGTTATCGTCGAATTATGGATGAAAAAGAAATCCTCAAATCAATAGATGATAATTCAACAAATAATGACCAAAGTTCAGCTACAGATTCGATGGGTAAGTTGTCATAATCCTATGGATTTAGTTTAATTCTTCGGATTTAATCAGCAGTTTTAATTTTAATTCTTTGAATTTACAAACTTATAAATCTTTTAAAACAGCACAATCAATGTCGTCGCAGCAACTTATGAGCGAAGCTGAGGATGTCATAACAGTTCCTCCAATTAATCAACAACCAATCATGTCAAGTTCAATATTCTACGATCAGCCTGATAATGACGATGAGAATAAAATAGACGAATCAAATGATGGAGCTTCGGATATCTCAAATACATTAATGAACTCAAAATCAGCGTATGTCTGTGATTTAGCAACATTTTTAATTCAACGTGCATGCAAGAATTCAACGTTGGCTAATTATCTATACTGGTACTTATCAATTGAATGCGAGGATCATGAAACAATAAGAAAACAAGATGATAGAGTACGAGAGATGTATATGACAGTACTAAAAATATTCCAACGAACGTTATCTACAGGAAGCACGGATCTAAAAATTATTCATGCAAATTTAAAGAAGCAACAGTGCTTCATTGAGAATTTGGTCAAGCTCGTTAAACTTGTTACTAAAGAGTCTGGAAATAGGAAGAAGAAGACAGAAAGATTTCAACAGTTGCTATGTGATACGGATGAATTTAAAATAAATTTTACGAATTTTGAGCCACGACCTCTTCCTTTAGATCCCGAAGTCTTTATTAAGGGTATTGTTCCTTCAAAAGTTTCATTATTTAAGAGTGCATTAATGCCTTCAAAACTCACATTTTTAACGACCAACGATACTGAGTATATCACGATATTTAAGCATGGTGATGATTTGAGACAAGATCAGTTAATTCTACAAATGATTACACTCATGGACAAGCTGTTAAGAAAAGAAAACTTAGATTTAAAGTTGACACCTTATCGTGCTTTAGCAACGTCTAAAAAACATGGATTTGTACAGTATATAGACTCAGTAACTGTTGCAGAAGCATTAGCAACTGAAGGATCAATATTAAATTTCTTTAAAAAGTACAATCCATGTGAAAATTCTGCTTTTGGAGTCAATTCTGAGACTATGGATTGTTATTTGAAATCATGTGCTGGATATTGTGTTATAACTTATTTGTTGGGCGTTGGAGATAGACATTTAGATAATTTACTGTTGACAAAGAATGGAAACCTATTCCATATAGATTTTGGATATATTCTTGGACGAGATCCAAAACCTCTGCCTGCACCAATTCGATTGACTAAGGAAATGGTCGATGCAATGGGTGGAATGAATTCTGAGCATTATCATGAATTTAGAAAGCAATGTTATACTGCATTTTTACATCTTCGACGTCATGCGAATGTCATGTTAAATCTCTTTTCGCTAATGACGGATGCATCAGTTCCTGATATTGCTTTAGAACCTGACAAAGCAGTTAAGAAAGTTGAGGATAATTTAAAGCTCAATTTATCTGATGAGGAAGCTGTACAACATTTACAGAACTTACTGGATATATCATTATCAGCTATAATGCCAGCAATCGCAGACCAGTTCCATAAAATAGCTCAATATTGGAGGAAATAATTAACTTTAAACTTGTGTATGATATTATTATGTACCTATTTTGACTAAAAAATAACGATCAAATAAAATTCAAAAATCTAAATTCTATTAAATAAGAAATCGTTCATAAGTGATATCACATGACTCCTCCTCAAGCTTCCTTATTAATTTGATAAACAGTTCCAATGAGTATCAGCTTCCTTTAAATATACCATCTTTATACTCATGAGTAAAAATGATCGCATTTTAATTGACGTCATTTATGAACGAGCCCCTTTGGATGTCTGTCGAAAAAATTTTGCATAACATTTTATTTTTCAATAATTAAAATCACTAAAATGTCGGCAATAAGGATCTTTACTGCCTGCAAATATGGTAAGTCCATAAAACTTATAAAGTACAATAGGGTTTTAGTACATACGGCAGGAAACAACAAGATATAATGGTGAAATATTGGAATTAAAAGAAATTTTCTTAATTCATTAATTTAAAGGAAAACAAGCTTTCCGACCAACGATTAGATTTTCATCGACAGCAGTTTCCGAGACAAAGGATCAACATAGCGCATTGAAAGCTGAACATGGTGGATATATTTATGTTAATAATCAAGAGCCATCAATGGATTTTAAGGATGTGACCGATAGAGCAGCACAGACAATGTTTATTACAGAAATCTTTAGAGGATTAGGTGTTACTCTCGGTACGATCTTCAAAGAACCTGCAACTATTAATTACCCATTTGAAAAGGGACCTTTAAGTCCAAGATTCCGTGGTGAGCATGCATTGAGAAGATATCCATCGGGTGAAGAACGTTGCATCGCATGCAAGTTATGTGAAGCTATATGTCCAGCACAGGCTATTACTATTGAAGCTGAAGAACGTTCTGATGGAAGCAGACGTACAACAAGATACGATATTGACATGACTAAGTGCATCTATTGCGGATTCTGTCAGGTAAAGTCTTTCTTATGGATTCTGTTTGTTTAGTGCTAAGGATGTATGTTATTTGTGATTACAGGAAGCATGTCCTGTAGACGCAATCGTCGAAGGTCCAAACTTTGAGTTTTCAACGGAAACCCATGAAGAGTTATTGTACAACAAAGAGAAACTCCTTGGAAATGGAGACAAATGGGAGTCTGAAATTGCATCAAACATTCATGCTGATCACCTGTATCGTTAAATCTCTTAATTCTGTTAATAAAATATAACTTTTGGTGATCATAGAGAAAGAAACTATCTAAAATAAAATATGAAGATAAATTACCGTAGAGATTTCTGTTCCTTTTAATTATCAAGACTGTTCACTTACTTATCAGCTGATTTAATGGTTGTCATTCCAATATTGCTTATCGATGAAAATTTAAGTAAATTTTTCGAACATATTTTTACTCAGAATGCCCATTTGTAGATACGATAAGGCATAGAACAAGACATTAATAATTTTGTAGTAATAAGCATAAATGGATCTGCCTTTTGAATTAGCTATTGAAGCTGTGGAAGGTTTAAACTTCCTTAATGACGCTATAGATGAAGAAATCACGAGGAAAGTCATTGTTAATGCTGTAAAGCAGATTCTAGTGAACGGACCAGGTAAATAAAAGTTTATGCTTCATGAATGCTCAATTTATGCTTAAATTAATTTTAGCATTGCCAGCAAGATCTGATATTTATGAAAATGATGTAAAATTGAATGTCAAGAAGGCTGAATATGGAATATCCTGTACGCTAATTTGTTCTGCTCAGAATGGAATTGATTCATTGCAATTGAAGGAAGTTCTGTCATTTTATAAAGTTAATAAAAAGACGACGAGTCAATTGATGGAATCTTATGAGAAATTTAAAGATGATTTAACGAACAAAATGATGAAATTCGGAAGTTCCCATAAAATTGAAACATTGACAGATGTAGATTATGAGATACAGCAACAATATATTCCAAATGGAGACATACTCTTTAAATTGACATTAAAGTCCTTTGATCATGAAAAAGGCGAGAATAAAATTATTGACGAGATTTACTGTAATCAAGAGGAACTTCAACTGCTGATTGCCAAGTTGAAAGACATCGAGAGGCACTGTGAACGAATTAGTAAACTAGAGTAGCACTAAAAGTTATTATTAATTATATTTAATCACGTTAAAATAAATTTTTCTATGCATCATAAATCATATACTCATATCTTGTTAAGGAACTAGTCATATATACACATTTATTTAATTTCGTCCTCTTCTAAAACAAGTTCCTTGAACATTTCGATCGATGGTAAGTTAGTGAACACGCTTCCAGAGAATTTTGGAGATTTATCCTCAGAAATGAGCAGGCATGACTCCTTATTACCAAATCCTTTGATACTTTCCAACTTCATACATAATCCTCGGAAGCGTTCGTCATTCTTGTACAGAGATTTTGGATGATATGAGAAGAATGCCTTTCCCGAAAATGGATTAAGGAAGTCAGCCCAATATCCATGAAGGCGTAATCTTTGACATATTTCTCTAGCTGCAAATATGAATTTGATTGCTGCCTTCTCATGTTCTAGATAATTTGAAGGTTGACTAAGGATGATTAATGACAAGTTACTTGTCTCGCTAATCACTTCTGGTGCTGGAAACATTTCCTGTAAGCTTTTCCTGATTAACATTGGACATTTTTGAAATGTCAGATGCAATTTCGTCTTGTCTTTATTGTCTAAATCAATTAGTTCCTCTAATTCCGTTGTTGCAGTATGGGTAGATGTGTTATTCAAGTAGGCAGGTCCAACACTTCCTTTACCCAAGAAGAATCGATTGTTTTTGGCTCCAAAAAGTTCCCAATTAGCTCCATTTTCATGCACTAGCATGTTATTGTTGGAATCATCTGCAAAGAAAGTTTAATTAAAGATTTTCAATGTCATTAACAAAAAACGCAATAAGATGACGAAATAATATTGATCAATTTAAAAACTCACTTTTAATCCTTGCCTGGACTATTTTATATGGAGACTTTGAGTTGCTCGAGTTCCTTGAATAAGCAGCTTGTAATGTAACTAATTTATTCCCGCTCAAAAGCCTTCTTTCAACAATAATTAAACCTTTGAACATTGTTTATTTTTCTCCCATACACTATACTTTTATGATTTTCACTAAGGAGGCTCATTCATAAATTACGTCAATCATTTCAAAGAAGGAGGAATAAGATTTTAATAACAGAAGTTATTCTTAATTTAAAGTTTTCTGACGACAGGATAGTGGGAGATTAGAGGTTTTTTAATTCAATTTTTTAATACACATCATAATCAAATTTCCCCTCATACTCTATTTTGAAATATTTTATAGCGTTAAAATCTTTCACTATTACTATATTTGCGTAATGTTGTGGAATTGCTTTGATAAGAACCTCTTACTAGCTTAGTCCTTGTCTTGATAGAGTATTTATAGTTTTAATCCGAAGATTTAATTTTAATCTTGAGATTTAATTTTAATCCAATGATATTGACATTCATCCGTAAAATCAGCATGTTCAAAATATATCAAGTTTTTGATTATTTTAATTATATAGTGAATTTTATTAATTGCAGTACAATATTTGTTCAATAATAAAAAAAGAAGAATACTTTTAAGAAAGAAAATCGGAAGTGACGTCAGTTTCTCTAATAAGTTCCGAGGCTCTTTTCCATAAACTTCTTCTTTGAGAAGCACATCCAAAATTTATTTGGGCGACCGTCTTCTGTGTTGAAAACCTTTTCACAAATTCTATTTCCAGTCTCTTGACGAATTTGGGTCAAATAATTACGCATTAAATCTAAAATGTACAGCATAGAAGTTATGTCTAGGAATTAATTTGTGCATATAATGACTTACCAGCTTCTGCTGTAGTTTGAGGCTTTGCATAAACAGAGTTTAGAGGAAATCCAGCTTCGCCAGGAATGTCAAATTTGCTAATGGCAAGTGAATACATTTCTTGCATTCCTTGATTCTTGTTTGGGCATCTTTGGAGTTTCTTCAAGCATTCTGGGATGTAAAGTGTCACATAAATTAGCACACGATCTATCTCATTTTTAACTTCATACGTTCTAAAGAAGATATTGGCTTTAAAAAAATAAATTGATTCATCAATTATATCCTGCTCGATATTTGATTGTGGTGCTGGTCCACGGAATTGCGTTCGTAACGGAAGTAATGCCATATTGGCTACTGATTGATTATAATCCTTGATTTGTGAATGATAAGCCTGTAAAATGGAATTAATGAATCATCTTTGATATCAAAACACACCCAAGTATCTTAATTTCCACTTTTCTCGTATTGCTTGTAACTTTTCTGACTTACCGGCATGTTTGTTGTCTTAATTATTTAAAAGGGATCAAGTAGAATATGCAAAAAGTATTTAATAAGCCTGAAAAACTTTAATTTTAGAAATTCTCAAAATTGCACAGAAAAAAACACACGAAAAATCAGGGGTTGGGTATCGTACTTTTTTGGCTGTACATACATCGACTTAAATGTTATTCTATCTCAAAATTAAGCTATTGACATTCTTATAAAGCATAGGAATCGTTAATTATTAACACAAAACTATTTTTTTAAAAATATTGAAACTTAACGTATTTTTGAAATTTAAAATTTATGTTAAAAATGTAAACAATCCAAACAATCAAAAAATTATTGTAAAATAAAAAACTTATTCGTTTGACTATAAATCGGTGAAAACAATTCATTACGGATACTAGAGCCATGGGAGCAGCATAAGATTCGAAGATTAGTTCGAAAACTTCAGAGCTAGGTTTTAAGATTCAACAACAAATTGCATAAAATTGATATTATTTTAATTATTCCAACAAAAACATCACATTTTATGGAAATAAAACATATTAAATGATAATAAGACTACTGCCTAAACGAGGAATAAAGAGTACGGCATTTAAATACAACGATATTTGAGATAAAATGAAAGTGAAATGACAAAAAGAAAAAGTTTCATAATTTTCTTTATATTCATAGCAATTAATTTATTAAATTGTGATAAGTCTCTACAACAGGATGATGAGGAGGAGTTAATAAGTGCTAATTCAACAAAGCATGATCAGAGAATAGTGGTTGAATTTACGACTAGTATTGTACAACATGAATATATAATTCATTTTAAACATTATTATAAGAAAGATACGAGAAGGAACTTCATCTCATCGGCACTTGATAATCCAGAGGTAAATGTCAAAAAAAAACAAGTTTAATGCTCTTACTGATAACGAATATATTTTATAGATCAAAAATTGGACGATAGTTCAAAGACAAAATCCAGCAAGTGACTATCCTAGTGATTTCGATGTAATTGATTTGTATGAGAAAACACCATTAACAGGATTGGAACTGCTGAAAAATCATCCATTGATTAGGAGTGTTACACCGCAACGACTTGTCCATCGAACACTTAAATTTGTTGACACTGAACAAGAATATCCAACAAATGAAGTTGTTAAAGAAAAGAAAACAGAAGAAGAAGATGACATAATCAATTACATTTCAAAGCATCTGAAACTTGACCCAAAAACGATAAACAATGACTGCTGTGTGCCTGAATTTCAAAATTTTCGGCGAGGCCTTTCATCCTCAACAGACACAACACAGCAACAACAATCGTTGGTTGGAAATTCTAATGCCCATTCAAATAGACGACTTTTGAGGGCAGTTCCAAGACAAATAACCAGTACTTTAAAGGCTGATGTTTTATGGAGTAAGTACCAACGTAAACTATAACTTTTATTGCGCCTTATTAATTATGTATTGACTCTTATTAATAATTTAGCAATGGGAATAACAGGTGAGTTTTAAAGTCTAATATTGACACATGCTGTATTTTATATGTATGTATTTATTAGGAAAGGGAGTTAATGTAGCAGTTTTCGATACCGGATTAAGTAAATCACATCCACACTTTAAGAAAATTAAGGAACGAACGAATTGGACGAATGAAAAGTCACTAAATGATGGAATTTCTCACGGCACTTTTGTATCTGGAATTATTGGATCGTCAAAAGAATGTTTAGGTTTTGCACCAGACGCTGACCTTCACATTTATCGTGTTTTTACCAGCAATCAAGTTTCGTATACGTCATGGTTTCTCGATGCATTTAACTATGCAATATTAAAGAAGATTAATGTTATTAATTTAAGTATCGGTGGTCCAGACTTTATGGATCGTCCATTTGTCGATAAAGTACAAGAATTATCAGCTAACAAAGTTATCATGGTATCTGCAATTGGAAATGATGGACCGCTTTATGGAACTTTAAACAATCCTGGAGATCAGCTGGATGTGATTGGTGTCGGTGGAATGAATTTTGAGGAGAAAATTGCTAAATTCTCATCACGTGGAATGACAACTTGGGAGCTGCCTCTCGGATATGGTCGTTTAAAGCCAGATATTGTAACTTACGGTGCACAGGTGAGTTAATCTAAGAACCGTTAAGTTTCAAAAATTTGAATTAAACAATTAAAGAACATATTTTTCAAATTTTTGCCATCCGTTATGTTTTAAATATCAATTATGCGTTAAATTTTAAAATCTGTTTTGTAGGTGAAAGGATCAAATTTGAAAGGTGGATGCAGATCATTATCTGGAACTAGTGTAGCTAGTCCCGTTGTTGCTGGTGCTGTTACTTTAATCATTTCTGGAGCTCTCAAACGCATGGATTATATTAATCCATCGTCGGTAAAGCAGGCTCTTATTGAAGGAGCAACACGACTAAACGACAATAATATGTTTGAGCAAGGTCATGGCAAATTAAATATCTTGAAATCCATTAAAATATTATCAGAATATCAGCCACGAATTACGTTATCGCCAACACATTTAGACATGACAGACGATTACATGTTTCCATATAGTTCACAACCAATTTATTACACAATGCAGCCAATTATTGTGAATGTAACGATCCTTAATGGAATTTCGGTAACAGGACATATAACGGAAGCTCAATGGTATCCTTACATGAATGAAAATGGAAATATGCTGAATGTATCAATTTCATACAGTGAAATTTTATGGCCTTGGAGTGGATGGATGAGTATACACATTGTAGTCAATGAATATGGACAGCATTTTGAAGCACAAGCACTTGGTCATGTGTCAGTGACAGTTGAAACGCCATCACCAAAAGATTCAAGTGAAAAAATCAATTCTACAGTTACTTTTTCCATTCGATGTAAAATAATTCCAAAACCACCCAAACAGAAACGAATTCTTTGGGATCAATATCATAATCTTCGATATCCACCAGGATACTTGCCAAGAGATTCACTGAAAATAAAACAAGATCCTTTAGATTGGCGTGGAGATCATATTCATACAAATTTTAAGGATATGTATACACATTTGAGGTCTTCCGGATATTATATTGAGGTTCTCGGTGAGCCTTTTACATGCTTTAATGCTTCAAATTATGGAACTTTATTAATGGTCGATCCTGAAGAGGAATATTTTGAAGCAGAAATTGAAAAGCTTTATGATGACGTTATGAATAAAAATCTTAGTGTAATCATTTTTGCTGATTGGTACAACACAACAGTAATGAAGCACATGAAGTTCTATGATCAAAATACTAGACAATGGTGGGTTCCAGATACAGGAGGTGCAAATATTCCAGCTTTAAATGAATTACTAAATGTTTTTGGTATAGAATTCGGTGATAAGGTGCTTGAAGGCTATTTTAAAATGGGAGAACATCATGATATGTACTATGCAAGTGGAACGAGTATCGTAAAATTCCCAAAAACAAATCAAACGGTGCTGATTGAACGAGATTTAGTTGATCAAGGTTCTGAGATCTTGAAACATCCACAAAACGGAAGTCAACAAAAAGATTTGCCTGAAATTGATCTGAAAAATGTAAGATTAAAGTATAAAGAAGTTATTTTGGGCATGCTACAGACAATTGCAGCATCAAATGGTAAAAAAGGTGGAAGAATCGCCGTTTATGGCGACAGTAATTGCCTTGACTCAACTCATATGGAGAAAGCTTGTTTTTGGCTCTTGGATGCGTTATTGGAATATTCGATGACGAGTCATATAAGCGGGCTGTTAAAAAGTATGAATCGAGTGCAATATATAGATTTTTCAGGTAAGTGCTAAGCATTAATGTCAATATTTGGGTATCTATACTTTATTTACATGCCACAATATCTATGTACTTATAGACAAGACAAAACCTCAGAGATTATTACACAATAATTTGCACTCTTACTCAAAAATCTTGAGTCCTAATGATCGTGACTTGAAGCGACCCGTTCAAAAATGTCAAAAAATAATGTGGGAATTTCCATATTACTTAAACATCACAAGATCGTACATCAATGAAGCAGATCGTATCGAAAGTAATATGATTTAAGTGAAAAAATCATTGACTTAAAAATGTGATTTTAATGGTAAGGATTACAGAGTTTAGAGTACTAAATTGAAAGATTTGTTATGTACCAGGTAGGAAGCTCGATAGAATTTTATTTTTTAATTTAATGTGAAGATAATTAATTATTTGTACCTCAAATTTTAACAAATTGGTTCCACTAATAATGTAAGACAAATTTTTATTATAAATGCAATAAAAACATGGAAAATTTTCTTCTTCTTAAAGTTGTGCTTATTAAAATTATTGATATGCTGAAGAGTTGCACAGGAATATTCAGGTGTTAAATATTGTAATCCAAACGTTAATTTTTCAACAAAAAATTGAAAATTTCGGCTAAACTGTACGAGATGGGGTACCCTTTTATTTTTGATTTTAAAAGTGTTTTCTTATTGCTTTTAATGTGTACATTTTTAAAAACAAAAGTTTTTCTGGCGGAAACGCATTTGAAACAAAAAAATTTTTTTGCAGCTAATTTGCAGGAGGTTTGCAGTTGATCAAAAAATTTTATTTTTGCAGGTGGTTTGCAGTTGATCAAATATTTTATTTTTGCAGTTGAGGTTCTGCAAATCAACTGCAAATTTTCATTTATTCTTTAAAATTTCTCAAAATTGTTTTTGATGATCTGCAAATCAACTGCAAATTTTCATTTATTCTTTAAAATTTCTCAAAATTGTTTTTGATGATCTGCAAATCAACTGCAAATTTTCATTTATTCTTTAAAATTTCTCAAAATTGTTTTTGATGATCTTAAATTTCTGAAAATTATTTGATGATCTTTGATTTTAATTAATTGTTATTTTATTCGATTGAATTCAATTCTAATTTGTAATATTATCCCTTTTACAAAAGATAAAACGGCTTTTTAGTTTCATCTTTTCTTAACATTAATTGAATAAAACTTCTCAACTGCAAATTAACTGCAAATTTTCATTTATTCTTTAAAATTTCTCAAAATTGTTTTTGATGATCTGCAAATCAACTGCAAATTTTTATTTATTCTTTTAAATTTCTGAAAATTATTTGATGATCTTTGATTTTATTTAATTGTTATTTTATTCGATTGAATTCAATTCTAATTTGTAATATTAACCCTTTTACAAAATATAAAACGGCTTTTTAATTTCATCTTTTCTTAACATTAATCAAATAAAACTTCTCAACTTCAAATCAACTGCAAATTTTCATTTATTCTTTAAAATTTCTCAAAATTGTTTTTGATGATCTGCAAATCAACTGCAAATTTTTATTTATTCTTTTAAATTTCTGAAAATTATTTGATGTTCTTGATTTTATTTAATTGTTATTTTATTCGATTGAATTCAATTCTAATTTGTAATATTAACCCTTTTACAAAATATAAAACGGCTTTTTAATTTCATCTTTTCTTAACATTAATCAAATAAAACTTCTCAACTTCAAATCAACTGCAAATTTTCAGTTATTCTTTAAAATTTCTCAAAATTGTTTTTGATGATCTGCAAATCAACTGCAAATTTTTATTTATTCTTTTAAATTTCTGAAAATTATTTGATGATCTTTGATTTTATTTAATTGTTATTTTATTCGATTGAATTCAATTCTAATTTGTAATATTAACCCTTTTACAAAATATAAAACGGCTTTTTAATTTCATCTTTTCTTAACATTAATCAAATAAAACTTCTCAACTTCAAATCAACTGCAAATTTTCATTTATTCTTTAAAATTTCTCAAAATTGTTTTTGATGATCTGCAAATCAACTGCAAATTTTTATTTATTCTTTTAATTTTCTGAAAATTATTTGATGATCTTTGATTTTATTTAATTGTTATTTTGTTCGATTGAATTCAATTCTAATTTGTGATATTAACCCTTTTACAAAATATAAAACGGCTTTTTAGTTTCATCTTTTCTTAACATTAGTTGAATAAAACTTCTCAACTGCAAATCAACTGCAAAAATAAAATTTTTTGATCAACTGCAAACCTCCTGCAAATTAACTGCAAAAATGCGTTTCCGCCACAAAAACTTTAGTTTTTAAAAATGTACACATTAAAAGCAATAAGAAAACACTTTAAAAATTGAAAAATAAAGGGTGCCCCATCTCGTACAGTCTTACCAAAATTTCTACTAAATTTGAATTTAATTTTTCCGTTACAAATTATAGCTTCCAAAATTCTAAATTAATGCAGCTTTGATCACATTCTCGCAGTCAGTATTCACAACTAAGATTGTATCACAGAGTATAAAAATTCCAATAGTCAGCAATAATTGTTCCTTTTAAGAGCAAAATTCTCTAAAAATATTTCCGTAAAGTATTTTTAACAATACTGAATATTCCAACACGTGTTCATTTCAGAAAGTAAATTTAGTGAGTATCGTGAAGCACACAGGGTACATCAAATCTTAAAGATGATCAATCCACCAATCGTGAAAATTCGTTAAGTTTATTTTCGGCTTGAGGAAAGAAGAAAAATTGAATAATTTTGTGAGAAAATCTTTTGAGATGAGATTTTTCACATTCAGTGCTTATTGAACTCGACCAGCAACTCGACATAAAATTAAGATCGAATAAAAGAACTGAAAAAGTCTTTAATAAATTATTTAAGAAAATATCTAACGAATAAGGTAAGTCGAAAGTGGATATTTTGAAAGTTCTGTGGATGAATCAGTGATTAGAAACAAGTTTAAGGAAGTTTAAAAAATAGTCAGCCTGGAAATTGGACAAGAATCTTTAGGTTATGCAACCACAAGTTCAATAATCTTCATAAATTTCTCATTACATAATTATGAATCTTAATAATCAAGTGATTAACTTTTCAAGAACATGCTGGCCATGAAATCAAAATTCAATAGCTGCAAGGTTGCCAACTTTCGTTACGTGAAAAGTCACTGATTAAATAGAACTTTTATTTTTAATTAGATAAGTCAAGTGTGTGATCAAATCTTTTCCTTCTTTACATCCACAATCGTGAGAACAATGTCTCTTTACTCAGTAACGAGGAATTTTCCTCTCAATTCACAGTCGTAGTCTCACTTGACCACGAAAATAAATTTTCATTTGACTTTGTCTCATCACATGTTGGTTGCGGGAATGACGTATTCTTATTTCTCATTGAACTACATACTCAATTTGTGTTGGCATGGCGTCAATTGAAAATGAATTATAGTTTGTTATGTGATCAATTCACTTTCTACTATGTACCTGTGTCCTTAATCTTATTGTCTCTTATTTGCTTTTTATTAGCCATAATGATTTTTGAAAAGTTTCAATCAAATCCTTTCGAGGCAAAGTGCGAAAGCGCACAAGTAAACAAGTATGAGACATCACTTGTTCCTGGTCGAGAAATTGCTGCTGCTGCCGCCGTCTCAAATGTAATTCTTCCAGGAGGTTAGATATAGCAATCTTTATGGTATATCCATTTACTAATTATTTATTTGCCAGATTCATGTGCATTTGGATCCACCAAATATTTCCTCTTATGCGGTCTTGGAGGTATCATCAGTTGTGGTACAACACACACAATGGTAATGACTCAGCATTTATTTATATCCTCAATCACATCCACTAATAAATCTATACTTTAGGTCGTTCCATTGGATTTGGTAAAATGTCGTATCCAAGTCGATCCAGCAAAATACAAGTCAGTCTTCAATGGATTCAAAGTAACTCTCGCTGAAGACGGAGCAAGAGGTTTAGCCAAGGGCTGGGCTCCAACATTCTTCGGTTATTCAGCACAAGGTCTCTGCAAATTTGGACTTTATGAAGTCTTCAAAGTCATTTACTCTGACATTATTGGCGAGGAGAATTCTTACTTGTGGAGAACATCCTTATATTTGGCTTCATCTGCTTCCGCTGAATTCTTTGCTGATATTGCTTTGTCTCCATTCGAAGCTGCAAAGGTAAAGATCCAAACAATGCCTGGATTCGCAAATACATTGCGTGAAGCTTTTCCAAAGATGATCAAAGACGAAGGTATTAATGCATTCTACAAAGGCTTAGTTCCACTTTGGATGCGTCAAATTCCATATACAATGATGAAGTTCTCATGCTTTGAACGTACTTTGGAATTACTTTATCAATATGTCGTACCAAAACCAAGAGCTGATTGCACAAAGGGAGAACAACTTATTGTCACATTTGCTGCTGGTTATATTGCTGGTGTCTTCTGTGCTATTGTTTCACATCCAGCTGATACAGTTGTATCAAAACTTAATCAAGCAAAGGGTGCATCCGCATTGGATGTTGCTAAGAAACTTGGATGGGGTGGTATGTGGGGAGGTCTCGTTCCTCGTATTGTTATGATCGGTACACTCACAGCAGCACAATGGTTCATCTATGATGGTGTTAAGGTTGCCTTCTCAATGCCACGTCCACCACCCCCAGAAATGCCTTTGAGTCTTAAGAAGAAGCTTGGACTCGCTGAATAAATTAAATTAATTAAACTTAACAATTCAAAAATTATTCGAATTACTTAAAAACTTATTTGTTGGTCCGTCGCTTTACATCTGTTTTTTAGATGAAGTAAAAGAATTGATTAAAGTATAAGATTAAAAAGAAACACACTCAAGATTAATGATTTTATCAATCGTGTCGATTTTATTTTCTGATCTTTCAGATTTGTCTTTTTTTTTTGTTTTGTCTATTTGAAAAATGCCACATTGGATTTCCTTAAATTTCTCTCAATAATCTTCCTAAACATGTATCGAAATCATTGAATATTTAATTAATAATTGTTCATAAGTTCATTCCTTATAATTATCATTGCGGACGGTAATTGCTTTCGATAGATTTAAATCTCTTTGATGATTGTTTTGATTCTATTTTCTTTTTAAAATATTCTCTCTTTTATCCTAAGAATACAGTAATAGTTTTAAAGGCCACATGATGTATTTTTTGCTTTGTCTTAACAAGTCTTATCTCTTAATAGCTAAATTGTAATTTACAAAGTACAAAATTATTTTTTTTTTTGAATTTTAATTTCAATTCCTCCTCAATTTCATCAATTTTGTGAAATTTCCTATTTTAGTGTCTTTCTTTTTTGTATCACATAAGAACTATTTATCCATTCACTCGATCCATAAATGCAACAACTAATACCAAACACATTCAGGCACATCAATCAGTCATAAAATTTAATTTAATATAAATTAATTTAAATACTTAAATCAATCGTTCTTCTGGTGGAGGTTTCAGCACATTGTCCATTTCTAGTCGTGGATTACAGTATTCTTGAGCGGAGGGACTGTATGTTCCTCTTGTTGCTCGCTTATTTCTAGCCATTACTAGGAATGTTGCAAGAACTATGCCACATATTGCTAATAGTCCAATTATTATTGGAACCACTATGATTGCGATGTCTCCGATTGTTGTTCCTGACACGAGCAGTACCTAAGGAAGTGACAGAAAATTTAATTCTAAAATCTATAGATCTATGGCTATTTGCAACTTACTTCCTCAGAACAATTCTTTCCAGTGAATCCTTCCATACATTGGCATCTATAGTCTGCGAATTCTACACAAGCTTCTAAGCACAATCCACCATTCATACACGGTGACTCATTCTCCTGGCATGGATCAATGTGATTACCTATAAAGTCATTAACAATATTAATAAAAGTCTATAGCAATAGAGAGTTTATATTCTTACAATCTGCTCCACACATGCCTTCATTACATTGACATCTATAGGATCCTCGTGTATTAACGCAAGTTCCTTGTCCACCACATGATATGTTTTCTAAATAATGAAAAACGTTAAATTAAAATGCTAAATACACCAAATTGTATAAGTAGCTACCTTCAAGGCACTCATCAATATCGATTTCACAGTTATTTCCAACGAAACCAGTTCGGGTGCAGTCGCATTTGTAATCTGCTACCAAGTCAATGCATGTTGCATTATTTTGGCATGGCGTTGATGCACATTCGTCGATATCTATTTCACAATATTTTCCAGTATATCCAGGCGAGCATTTACATTCTGGTGTCTCAGATGTGAGACAAATTCCATCATTCCTGCAAGGTTCAACTAAGCAGTATGCATGATCACAAAGAGCTCCTTCAAATCCATCTCTACATATGCATGTAAAGTTATTTCCTGTTGTTATATCTAAGAAATGGACACAAGAAATAATAAGCATGACACTTGATGATTAACATTCTTAGTCTTACTATGTCCATCTTGGCATGTAGATCCTAAACGGCATGGTGAGTTCTCACAGGTCACTAAACGTAAAACATCGCACTGCTTTCCAGCATAACTTTCGTCACAATCACATCTAAAATCAGCCAATAAATCTGTGCAATTTCCTCCATTATGGCAAGGCTGAGATGCACACTCATCAATTTCTTCTTCGCAAAACCATCCTGTATATCCATTTAAGCACTAAAAGTCATTAAAAGTAAATAAATGCTTTAATTAAATTATTCCATATTTAAATTGTAGTAAACGTACCGTGCATGTATAATTTCCAATACCATCTACACATGTTGAATTGTTTACACATTTCGATTGAAGGCATTCGTCAATATTCTGTGAACAATCATCTTTTTCGTATCCAATTGGGCACTAAAAAGTAAATTAATTTCATGAAGATTAAACATTAATTTTCTGGAATAAAACTAATTACCGTGCATGAGTAGTTTGCTTTAGGATCTCTACATTCGCCTCCATTTTGACAGTCTTGCTCGAAGCACAAAGTACAACCTTCATCGACATATGTGGAATTTAGTTTATAATGTGATCTTGGTGATAAGCTTTCAGAATAAATTTCTTCTTGTGAGAAGAATGGCAATAACAATCCTCCTATCCTTACTTCCCCTATACATCCTTTAAACGTTGATCCCTTTGAGTTTAGTCCTTTGATTGTGTTTGTATTTGTTGGATTAACACCTCCCAAAGAGATTGGATAACTTCTTGAGAACAAGTATTCAAATGCTTTCATGTCAATATTTGTTGATAAAGGAGGTTGAAGATCATTGTTGTTTTCCCAGCCTTTCCATCCAGCCTCAATTTTATTGTCTGATACTCTCAAATAAAGATGACTCCAATCGTATTTTGCAGAATTGTCTGCTGAATTAAAACGATGGACATCTGGCAGTTCTGTTGATAATCTCCATTGAATTGTTAATTGATCTTTATAGGATGCAATTCCAAAATACATGTCTTGTTCATCCTCTACATACAGTAAAGTTCCTCCAATTTTAGTTCGATATGCAATTTCTACAGTCTTAGAATAAGGCTTTGATTTTTCTATGTCATCAACACTTTCAGGAACGTAATAATAAACTAATGGACTATCTTCATTTCCACGGAATGTAACATTAGTAATACAATCATATCCATTATCGAGATTTTGACATGTAGCATTTCCTGGACATTTATGAAGCTCACAAAATTGAATGTCTTGACAGAGTTTTCCTTTATATCCTTTTGTGCATTCACAGAAGAAGTCATTCCAAGTGTTGTGGCATGTAGCACCATGCATGCATGGCATATTACGGCACAAATCATCAGACACTTCTCCTTTCAAGACAGAATCTCGATCTATAGTAACAATGCCAAATGGTGGTGGCAAATTCAGTTCCTCTTCATTCTCTGTATCCAGTGGATATAACTCAACACTCATCGCATGAGATCCATTTGAAACTTGGACATCTTGAATTATTCCTTTAAAGTAATCAATCTCTTTGACATTCTTACTGTCAATATTATCATCTGGATTATTAGACGGAGCTGGAGATCCCAAAAATAATACTTGAGCATTCAATTGACCAGAAGTTGATAAAGTTTTTCTAAAATATTCTGTTCCATTAAGTTTGACTTGCACTAAAGTAGAGTTTCTGATGACCTCAATTAAGTGATTATATCCATCATCTAGTTGTTTTCCACCTACTGCATAGCTCTCTGGAGTGCCATTAAATCGCATATTTACCAACAACTCTCCTTTTGACAGAGTAGCAGAGATTGATGTTTGTTCACGCAATTCTCCATTTGGTCCGTAAATTTGAAGTGGATCTGATCCTAAATAAAAGATTTGACCAGTTGACTGCCTTGTCCTAATAAACATTGATATATCCAAAACATTTCTAATTGCACGTCTTGCTGAGTCACTGACATTTACAAAAACTGAAGTTTTTGTCGTGTTTTCATGTCCGAATGTTGCAGCAACAATACTATATTTGCATGTTGGTCCCAAATGAGGACGTTGACACTCGCAAGAGAATTTATACCACAAATCAGTACATAAACCATTTGAGTGACATGGATTAGGATTGCACTGTTCATCACGTTTACATCCAATCTCAACATTTGTCAAATTCACAAAGTCATCATTTACTTTATCAGGCAAGACCCAGACATTATTAATGACGACATCTTCCATACATCCAATGAAGGCCGTAGGCTTGACGTGGTTTGCAATATGTTTCAAATAAGATAAAGTATCAGTATATCCACCTAAATACGTCATCGGAAAGCTAACATGGCTTGCATTTATATTCTCATATGAGTTGAAATTGATAGGATAAATTGTTTGTTCATCATTTGCTGACAAAACCAGATGCGATGAATTTATAGCTACAAATACTTTGTGCCATTTACTATCATTCAATTGCGATCCAATGAAAACGCCCTCCCATTTATTAAGCAGTGATGAATGCAAGTTAAGTCGACCATTTACTAGTTCCAGAATATAGCTGACTGCATTGTCAATAGATGATCCAAAAGCTACAACTCCATTCGGCAGTGTCGTACGGAATCTTAATTGAATATCATATCCTTCTTCACGACTCGTTTGTACAATAATCTCACTTTTATTGACGAGCGACATAGTGCTTACAATTTCACAAGTTCTTCCATAAAAGCCGTTCTTGCACGTGCAATTAAATAAATGCTCAGTTTCATCTTGAAGATCCAAATATGGAATGCATGAACCATCATTCTTGCATGGCGATGAAACGCATCCAGTTAATTCGACAGAACAATTTTTTCCGCCATAATTTGCATCACAGTCGCAATCATAATTGTTTCTTCCATCTATGCAAGTTCCATGCATGCACGGCTTCATCATGCACTCATCAATGTCATCCTGTTAAGTTTGTAAAAATTATAAAAATTGTCAAGTCATTTCCAAAAGCTTTGTGTCGATCTTTACTCACCTCACAATTGATGCCTTGAAAGCCTGGCTCACATTCGCATGTATAAGTTCCAATTCCATCAACACATGTTCCATATTTACTACATGGATTGCTTTCACATTCATTAATATCTAAATTATATTCAAAGCATTATTAAAATTGTGGATTATGACTAGATTAATTTCATCAACTCACTGATTTCACAATTGCGACCTTTCGTTCCCAGTACACAGATGCATTCATATCCACTTGCATTTTCATAAGTAAATTTACGATTGAATACAGCTGGTAATTGAGTTTTTTCTTGTGGCGATAAACTATACAGCGTTTGATTGGATTTTTCTAAGCACATACTTTGGTACTGACATGGATTCGGTTCACACTCATTTGTATCCTACATAAATGTAGATTAATATATTGATTTAAATTCGATTGAGTTCATTGTAATAAAGAGAAACTTACTTTTTCACAATTCTTTCCTTCATAGCCCGGAAAGCAATGGCAATCATAATCATTTACTTTATCTTGACATGTTGCGCCATTTATACATGGATTTGATTCACACTCATTGATGTTAAGCTGACAAACAGCTCCTGTAAATCCAGTGTTTGTACAATCGCATTTATACCCTCCAAGTTGATCTATACATGCTCCACCATTATGACATGGTTGCGGTGCACAATCATCAATATCAATTTCACAATTTCTTCCAGTCATTCCGGGAATGCATGAGCAGCTATCTGTTATGGATTAATATTATAGCATTAGAATATGGGGACATTCATAAATGATGTCAAAGGATATAGAGGTATCTATAAAATTTCAGACTTACAGTTGGCAACCAAGTCCATACATGTTGATCCTTTGCTACAAGGATTTGATTTACATTCATCAATATCGATATCACACTGCTTGCCTTCATAGCCAGGAGCACAGATGCATTCAAAGTCATTAATTTTGTCTCTACAAGTTGCACCGTTCTTACATGGGATGGAAAGGCATTCGTCAACATCTTTCTCACAATTTTTTTCCGTATATCCTGGACGACAGAAGCATTCATAAGATCCAGGTGTATTTATGCAGATGCCATTATTACAAATGTCTGGTTTTAATTTGCATTCATCAATATCTTCGCAGTTCTCTCCATGATAGCCTGACGTGCATGAGCAAGTATATTCCATAGTAGTTCCTGGTTTTGGATAGCATGTAGCATTTCCAGAACAAGGATTGGATGAGCATGCACAGTTTCCATCTGTACAATCTGTTTGTTCGGTGATTTCACACTTCTTTCCTGAATATCCATCTAAGCAGACGCATTCATTATTGTCGAGTGCACAGGATCCTCCATTATAACAGTCACAATCTTTATCTTGATAAGGCAATGCTATTGGTGTTTCACATCTAGTACCTAATGATGTTTTAAATATGTCACAATAAGTTCATCAAATTTTCATACATTTTAGAAATCTTGAAAATTAATGAAACTCAAGCAAGCAAAAAAGAAATTTACAGAACTGATTGGCTGACTATGTCTCATTAATTTACAATAGACTAAGATGGATATGAATAGAGCAAGCTTAATATTAGAAATAAAATAATAATTTTCAAACCTCCAAAACCCGAGGAGCATAAACATGTTACATTTGAGTCTTTGCCTAAACAAGTAGCACCGTTTAAACAATAACTTGAGCATGCATTGGTTCGAGCAGATTTTTTGGTACTGCTAGGCAATGAGGTCGAAACACATTGTCCAACTACACCTATAATAATTTTGAATATTTACATCCGCGAATGGGAAATTGTCTAATTAATATTTAACAAAAATATATATATTTTTTAAATTTATAAAGGAAATAAGGACATGATAAGTGTACAGACAGTGAAGTAGTAAATATTACATAAAAATTAATGGAAATGAGAGTGCCAAAAGTGAGAAATGAGATAAAATGTTTGCTCAAATTGTAAGTCTTGGTTATTTTTAAATGTGCATTTAGAGCTGATTAAAGTTTTCAGACGTGAGGTAAGCACAGGGGGATAGCATGTACAAAATTTCTTATTTAAAACTCTTTCTATACTTTTTGTCAAAAAGAGTAAAAATTGGGGCTAGATTTTTACCAGTAATAAGCTTATCTCTAAGGCCAGTGTTCATAATGATACAGATTTGAAAAAAGTGTTTAAAAATTCCTTGTGCACAATATTTTTCTGACACATTAGAAAATTGAAAGTTTTTATATTCACACCAATTCACACCGTTTTCACGTGTGAATCTATTGGTTTTGTTCAGATTGAAAAATCAGTTTTTTTGAATTTTGTGAGGATAATTTAGCTTAATACCTTCAAACTTATGCTAAGCAAATCTTGGTCTATCCATAAGACTTTTGATGGTACGGTTTGAAGAATATATTCGCATTGGGTTTCTACCCGATACACTAGTTGTTAATTTCTTTTGATTTGATGCTTTAAGGATCTTCTACATATCGTTTTCATTAATTGCTCAAAAACTCAGTCCATAATATAAATGATAAACATGATTTTTTAGCAAAAGGATGTAAAAGTTTATCAAAAAATATTGTGCATGTCCAAATTTTGCATGAAAATTTATGTAAACTTTGAACGCAAATATCTCGAAAACGGCATAAAACGGCATGACCATATTATTATGGAAGATAGATTTGAGCTTGTGCAATTGATATATATAGGTTTCAGAGAAGACTTTGGAAGACTTTTTAACTTATGAATAGTTAAAGTTTTGTAAAAATACTCAGATTTCAATTGAATTTTTAACACTTAATAAGCAGTTTTCTGTTGATTTGGTAGTTTTATTATGCAAATCTAAACTTAACTTAGCTAGCAACAGCTAGTAGGATATCGAAACAACAACCTAAAGTAGAGAAAATCGAAGAATTTTTTTCATATACAAATTGTAAACAAATTTTTGGTAAGAATAAATTAAAGGTTTCTGGAGTTAGACATCAAATTGGGACGAGATATTTTCATAGGATATGCCTCAAGTTAAGATCTTTATTCTGGCTGATTCTGGCATTCAAAAGATAAAGTTTAATTAATATGATAATTTTGAATTTTTGAACATTTTTTTCGAATCTGAATCATTGTGCGTATGTTCTAAGAGGAAACCAACATGATGGGGGAAAATGGTGAGAAATCCATATCTCATAAGATAGAGCGAAAAGTCAAGAACTGGATATATGAGAAGCTAAAAGATATACAAGCCTTTCAAGTCACTATCAAAAACTAGTTTCTGCAACATTTTACCCCCTGAATGAACTTCAAAATCAGTTGCACATTTTTAATCTTTGAATTAAGTTGGAATTAAGCTCAAAACAATTTAAAAGCTATGGATAATGTGAAGCTAATATGTTAATTTACTATGCTTAATGCGAATAGTTCTATAATTAAATGAGCTAGATAGCGTTTAGATTCTTCACAGATTGCAGGCGAATAGAATCATTACCTTTTGTCTTCGCTTATCAAATTCAAGCGGAATAAAAGATTTGTGACTTAATTTGTAAGTTAAAAATTGCGCTTACCTTTGTCTTGATCTGTACAGTCATTAAGAATTTGTTCGCAGTTATCTCCCGTGAAACCATGTGGACAGTCACATGTATATGATCCATAGTTATCAAAGCAAACTCCATTATTTTGGCATGGATTACGAGTGCATTCATCGATATTTTTTTGACATAATTTTCCAGTATATCCAGTAGTTTTGCAGTCACATTCAAATCCTCCAATTTCATCTATACATCGACCACCATTTTGGCATGGCTGAGATTCACAATCATTAAAATTCGTCTCACACCGATAGCCGACAAAGCCTTCTTGACACAGACATTCAAATTTTGAGCTATTAGGTTGTACTCTACATGTTCCATTATTGTAGCATGGATTTTTATCGCATAATGGATGTGATTCAATATGCGTCTCGCAAAACTTTCCAGTAAAGTCATTGGGACAATAGCACTTGAAGTTACCGATCCGATCTTCTTCACACGTTCCTGAATTTTTACATGTATTTTTATCACATGGTGAGCCAAGATCTTTATCACAATTCCGTCCACCATACCGAATTGGACAGTGACATTCGTATGAGTCAGTTCTCGATATACATTGTCCGTGCATACATGGATAATTTAAACAATGATCGACTGGTTCTCTTATTAAAATATCATGATCTGAATTGCATGAGCCTGGTGCTAATGGACATGAGCCAAACAAAACACCTTCGACGGTAATTTCACTGTTATTAAACATCAATCCTGGCCCATGTAAAAGACATCCAGAATATTGACGTCCCAATATTAACACAGCTGCCTCATTTTTAATTTCTTGATCTATCAAGAACTCCCGATTGTACGTTGAGTTAGCAATTACAAAAGTATTTCGATCTATAATAAGATTCAATATGCCTAATCGATAAATAAATTGAATTGTATGCCATTGATTGTCTACGAGCCGTGCTGGTATTAAAGCCTCTACACGTGTATTTTGTTGTGGAAGATTAAGAGCAATTGTAATGCCTTCTTTCGACACTGTAACAGTCAGCTCATGTCGCATATAAGTTTGTGACAGTAGTTCACCGCCTATAAGATAAGAAAGAAACATTTTGAGAATATATCAATAGTCATTTAATATTTAAATTTTATTTGGAACTAAAATTATTAGAACCCCTTTAGATTTTATTGGTCCCCTTTATGGAAATAGTAATTCGAAGAATAAACATCTAATTTATTGATGATCCCTACAGACTTTTAGTTAAACTTACTAGTAATAAAGCATTATGATCATCATTTGAACCAAAATATTATTATATTCACACCGTTTTCACGTGTGAATCTATTAAATTATCTATGAAAAGTTTGTGCCTTGAATTTCACATCTTTTGCAAAAAACAGATTTCAAATTGGTTGCGGCATTGCTGAAAAATCGCAAAATATGCTTTCTGTAAGCAAGCAAACAAGCAAGTTAATCAGCAAGAAATCTCAATAACGAGACATCGTAGATACTTCTGGTGTTTTACATTTGATCCGTGCTGCTCTATAGAAGAGCTGTATTGTTTTTGGGCAAGGTAGGAACAGCCGTTGCTTCAGAAAAAGCAAAAAACTTTCCTTTCTTACGAATTTTTCAAATTAAAAGTTCACTGTGATTTTTATAAAATTAAACTTTGGATGAAAAAAATTTTTTTGAGCAAAGAACCAAAAAGGAAATACATTTTCAATTTTTGACTAGGGGCTAGGGTTTGTGGAAAACAGCTGTTTTTGAAAAACAGTCTGTTTTCGGTTTTTGATTTTTAAAAACAGCTGTTTTCCTGTTTTTCTAGAATTCAAAATAAATTGAGTTATCCTAAGTGTTTCTCTAAGATAATGAAACTTTTTGGTGGTTATAAGCAGTTAAGTATACATTTTAGAGCTAAGCATTATTATTTCTTATTTTTTTATGTTAATTAACTCTAAAAAAATATAATGAAATATAAAGATGCAAAAAAAAAATCCAAAAAAATTTATACCTTTAAGTAACATTGCATTGTTGCATTGTAAAATTTCGATAAGCTCTAATATTTTATTTGAAATATTCAAAAAATCTTTCTGAATAAAAAAATATCTTGTAAAATTGTTGATTATATTTTTAAACTTTAGTAAATGCTACAAAAGGTTCAACAAATTTAAAATTTCGATTGCAAAAATAATAATGATTAACCATAAATTTGATAATGATTTCAAACCTATTAAACATCCAAAAAATATTAAAATAGTAAATACATTTCAATTTGAAACGCTAGAAAAATATATTAAGTTCTTCAAAAAATTAAGAAATTTTTTTTCCCTAAATTTTATGAAAAATGAAAAACAGAAAACAGATATGTTTTTGAGACCTGTTTTCTGTTAACGGATTTTTGTCGAAAAAAAGCTGTTTTTCTGTTTTCTGTTAACAGATTCTCCAAACCCTACTAGGGGCGACCCTAGTCAAAATCAATTTTGTCACTTTTTTCTTCGAGGGTTTTTCCAAATGGATTGAAACTTTGCATAAATATTCTAGTGCTTAAAACAAATACAAATAAAACATCATAAAATTTTTTTGAGCAAAGAACCAAGAAGGAAATACATTTTCAATTCTGGACTAGGGGCGACCCTAGTCAAAATCAATTTAGTCACATTTTTCTTCGAGGGTTTACCCAAATGGATTGAAACTTTGCATAAATATTCTAGTGCTTAAAACAAATACAAATAAAACATCTTAAATTTTTTTGAGCAAAGAACCAAGAAGGAAATACATTTTCAATTTTGGACTAGGGGCGACCCTTGTCAAAATCAATTTTGTCACTTTTTTCTTCGAGGGTTTTTCCAAATGGATTGAAACTTTGCATAAATATTCTAGTGCTTAAAACAAATACAAATAAAACATCCTAAAATTTTTTTGAGCAAAGAACCAAGAAGGAAATACATTTTCAATTTTGGACTAGGGGCGACCCTTGTCAAAATCAATTTTGTCACTTTTTTCTTCGAGGGTTTTTCCAAATGGATTGAAACTTTGCATAAATATTCTAGTGCTTAAAACAAATACAAATAAAACATCCTAAAATTTTTTTGAGCAAAGAACCAAGAAGGAAATACATTTTCAATTTTGGACTAGGGGCGACCCTTGTCAAAATCAATTTTGTCACTTTTTTCTTCGAGGGTTTTTCCAAATGGATTGAAACTTTGCATAAATATTCTAGTGCTTAAAACAAATACAAATAAAACATCCTAAAATTTTTTTGAGCAAAGAACCAAGAAGGAAATACATTTTCAATTTTGGACTAGGGGCGACCCTTGTCAAAATCAATTTTGTCACTTTTTTCTTCGAGGGTTTTTCCAAATGGATTGAAACTTTGCATAAATATTCTAGTGCTTAAAACAAATACAAATAAAACATCCTAAAATTTTTTTGAGCAAAGAACCAAGAAGGAAATACGTTTTCAATTTTGGACTAGGGGCGACCCTTGTCAAAATCAATTTTGTCACTTTTTTCTTCAAAGGTTTTTCCAAATGGATTGAAACTTTGCATAAATATTCAAGTGCTTAAAACAAATACAAATAAAACATCCTAAAATTTTTTTGAGCAAAGAACCAAGAAGGAAATACATTTTCAATTTTGGACTAGGGGCGACCCTTGTCAAAATCAATTTTGTCACTTTTTTCTTCAAAGGTTTTTCCAAATGGATTGAAACTTTGCATAAATATTCTAGTGCTTAAAACAAATACAAATAAAACATCCTAAAATTTTTTTGAGCAAAGAACCAAGAAGGAAATACATTTTCAATTTTGGACTAGGGGCGACCCTTGTCAAAATCAATTTTGTCACTTTTTTCTTCGAGGGTTTTTCCAAATGGATTGAAACTTTGCATAAATATTCAAGTGCTTAAAACAAATACAAATAAAACATCCTAAAATTTTTTTGAGAAAAGAACCAAGAAGGAAATACATTTTCATTTTGGACTAGGGGCGACCCTTGTCAAATCAATTTTGTCACTTTTTTCTTCAAAGGTTTTTCCAAATGGATTGAAACTTTGCATAAATATTCTAGTGCTTAAAACAAATACAAATAAAACATCATAAAATTTTTTTGAGCAAAGAACCAAGAAGGAAATACATTTTCAATTCTGGACTAGGGGCGACCCTAGTCAAAATCAATTTAGTCACATTTTTCTTCGAGGGTTTTTCCAAATGGATTGAAACTTTGCATAAATATTCTAGTGCTTAAAACAAATACAAATAAAACATCATAAAATTTTTTTGAGCAAAGAACCAAGAAGGAAATACATTTTCAATTCTGGACTAGGGGCGACCCTAGTCAAAATCAATTTAGTCACATTTTTCTTCGAGGGTTTACCCAAATGGATTGAAACTTTGCATAAATATTCTAGTGCTTAAAACAAATACAAATAAAACATCTTAAATTTTATTGAGCAAAGAACCAAGAAGGAAATACATTTTCAATTTTGGACTAGGGGCGACCCTTGTCAAAATCAATTTTGTCACTTTTTTCTTCAAAGGTTTTTCCAAATGGATTGAAACTTTGCATAAATATTCTAGTGCTTAAAACAAATACAAATAAAACATCCTAAAATTTTTTTGAGCAAAGAACCAAGAAGGAAATACATTTTCAATTTTGGACTAGGGGCGACCCTTGTCAAAATCAATTTTGTCACTTTTTTCTTCGAGGGTTTTTCCAAATGGATTGAAACTTTGCATAAATATTCTAGTGCTTAAAACAAATACAAATAAAACATCCTAAAATTTTTTTGAGCAAAGAACCAAGAAGGAAATACATTTTCAATTTTGGACTAGGGGCGACCCTTGTCAAAATCAATTTTGTCACTTTTTTCTTCGAGGGTTTTTCCAAATGGATTGAAACTTTGCATAAATATTCTAGTGCTTAAAACAAATACAAATAAAACATCCTAAAATTTTTTTGAGCAAAGAACCAAGAAGGAAATACGTTTTCAATTTTGGACTAGGGGCGACCCTTGTCAAAATCAATTTTGTCACTTTTTTCTTCAAAGGTTTTTCCAAATGGATTGAAACTTTGCATAAATATTCAAGTGCTTAAAACAAATACAAATAAAACATCCTAAAATTTTTTTGAGCAAAGAACCAAGAAGGAAATACATTTTCAATTTTGGACTAGGGGCGACCCTTGTCAAAATCAATTTTGTCACTTTTTTCTTCAAAGGTTTTTCCAAATGGATTGAAACTTTGCATAAATATTCTAGTGCTTAAAACAAATACAAATAAAACATCCTAAAATTTTTTTGAGCAAAGAACCAAGAAGGAAATACATTTTCAATTTTGGACTAGGGGCGACCCTTGTCAAAATCAATTTTGTCACTTTTTTCTTCGAGGGTTTTTCCAAATGGATTGAAACTTTGCATAAATATTCAAGTGCTTAAAACAAATACAAATAAAACATCCTAAAATTTTTTTGAGAAAAGAACCAAGAAGGAAATACATTTTCATTTTGGACTAGGGGCGACCCTTGTCAAATCAATTTTGTCACTTTTTTCTTCAAAGGTTTTTCCAAATGGATTGAAACTTTGCATAAATATTCTAGTGCTTAAAACAAATACAAATAAAACATCATAAAATTTTTTTGAGCAAAGAACCAAGAAGGAAATACATTTTCAATTCTGGACTAGGGGCGACCCTAGTCAAAATCAATTTAGTCACATTTTTCTTCGAGGGTTTTTCCAAATGGATTGAAACTTTGCATAAATATTCTAGTGCTTAAAACAAATACAAATAAAACATCATAAAATTTTTTTGAGCAAAGAACCAAGAAGGAAATACATTTTCAATTCTGGACTAGGGGCGACCCTAGTCAAAATCAATTTAGTCACATTTTTCTTCGAGGGTTTACCCAAATGGATTGAAACTTTGCATAAATATTCTAGTGCTTAAAACAAATACAAATAAAACATCTTAAATTTTATTGAGCAAAGAACCAAGAAGGAAATACATTTTCAATTTTGGACTAGGGGCGACCCTTGTCAAAATCAATTTTGTCACTTTTTTCTTCAAAGGTTTTTCCAAATGGATTGAAACTT